GAATTATTTTTAATTATATAATTTATTATTAAATATACTAAAAAAATAATGATAATGCTGTGGGGATCGATTAGTTCCTATAGTTTTTTTTATTTTTGTTCCTTAAATTTAAAATTTAAAATTTCATTTTTTTTGTCCTGTAATTTTAAATTTTAAATTATTAAACTTTTAAACTTTTAAATACTAAATCTCAGACTTTAAAAATATAAATTCTAACACATAAACACTAAATTTGAAAAAATCTAAATCCTAACATTATAAATATATAATAAAAAAATCTGAATCTTAATATCATTGAATATAGAACTCAAAAGCACATGACCCTTGAGGTCTAGTGGCAATAGCCACCCCGATGCATTCCCCCCTCCCCGGGCTGGGTTCGAAACCCGCCCCTTGCAAACATGTTCAAATATATATATATATATATATATAGAACTCAAAAAATTTAAATCCTAACACTTTAAATACTTAATTCAAAGAAAATCTAATCCTAACACTTTAAATATTGAACCCTAAAAAATTTAAACCCTAACTAACATATTAAACATTAAATTTAAAAAAAAATTAAACCCCAAAAAATTTAAATTTTAACACCTTAAACCTTGAACCCTAAAATGTAATGTAATCCTTAATATTACAATTACTAAACCCCTAATGCCTTAAATTAAAATAATCTTATTTGATTTTAAGTACTTAAATGATGTCTTTTAAATGTAAGGACTTAAAAGTTATAGTCCTATAAACTTGAGGACCTTTGCATTAGTTACGCACTTTCTCAAAACCAGCAATCAAACCGACGTGCCATTGCCATGTTCGCTCGGCCTTCTGTCGGCAGTACGGGCTTCGGCCGCAATCAAAAAATAATATTTCACAAATAATTGTCACATGAAAAAAAATAAAAATGGGGGGAAGAAGGACACAGAGACTGAGCAGAGGAAGTAATTGCAGACTGCAGAGTCATTTGAATGAAGACAAGACCTGTAAAAATTTCACGTGATAACTGAAGTAAATTCCAAGTTGTGTGTAGGAGCTAAAACCCCAGCAATTTCAGATTCTTGTTCCTACGGGACAAGATAAAAAAATGGCATGCAATGCAATGCAGTAAACTGAGATCAAATCCGACGTGAAAGCCTCGGATCCTTGTCAATAATTATGGTTTCAGCTGTTCCCACATTGGTCCCCTAGTCGATGTCCTTCTTAACAGTTCTCATTTCGCGTTAAATCCTGCTCCCTCGTCCATCCCCGTCCTTTCATTTTTCTTGTTCTGCCTATTTTTCAGATGCGTCCAATATTCAATATCCATGGCCTCCTTAAGTTCTGACCTTTCAAAAATAGAAAAACCAGATTCATTAACGAAGAAAAGTCACCACAAGTTCCAAGTTTTCGCCAGCTTATTTCTGTTTTTTGTTAGGGCAGCCTCTTTTAAGTTCAGTACCAAGCTGAAGAAGACCACCTCAGAGCATATGAGTATGTCAATGGCTAATCTAGTTCAATGCCAGGAGGTGGCTCCAGAAGCGCTGAAGAAACAGCTTTCTGTGGTTGTTAGGAGCATCCAGTGGAGCTATGCAATTTTCTGGTCCTTGTCGACCACGCAACAAGGGTATGATTACCTTTCGGTATTAATGAATGCCTGTCTAGCTTCATGCATGGGAGGGTTATGTTCTGTCCTAAATGGGAAGTTAGATATAGTGTAATGTTTTTCTTTCTTCACCTTTGTCTAGTGTGCTTCAATGGGGTGATGGGTACTATAATGGAGACATCAAGACAAGAAAGACAGTTCAAGCAGTGGAGCTTAAAGCTGATAAAACTGGTCTACAAAGAAGTGAGCAGCTTAGGGAGCTTTATGAATTTCTGTTAGAAGGTGAAATTGATCAAAACAAGAGGCCTCCTGCAGCGTTGTCTCCAGAGGATCTTTCAGATGCAGAGTGGTACTACTTGGTTTGCATGTCCTATGTGTTCAAGCTTGGACAAGGGTATTTATTATCAAACCCTTTTTTTTCAAATTTTTATTGTGAAATTCTTAATGTTTTGCTAGATATCATGTTCACTATTCGTACATTGTTTTGTGTAGTCTGCCTGGAAGAGCACTGGCAAATGGGGAAACTATATGGTTATGCAATTCTCACAATGCAGACAATGAAGTATTCTTGCGCTCTTTGCTTGCTAAGGTTGGTTAATTTTTGGTTTTCCTTCGATGCAAAGTTCTATTTTTCAATTGAATTTGCAAAATACTGACCTTTTCCATGTTTGTCTATGAACTTGTTCCCAAAAATGCCTGTAGAGTGCATCTATTCAGGTAAGGTATCTATCTTCTTGTACAAAGTGAATTGTTCTTCTCATACATGACATTTGGTTCACGTTGTGTTTGTATTTTGCAGACTGTTGTTTGTTTTCCCTATCTTGGGGGTGCAATCGAGCTAGGAGTAACCGAACTGGTAATTTTCTTCTAAATGGAACTATATATATATATTCTAGTGATGGTTCATAACATAAAGTAGTTCTGATTTTATACTGTTTCTACAGGTTCCTGAGGACCCTAATCTACTTCAGCACATAAAAGCATCCTTTCTGGACATGACAAAGCCAGTTCATTTCGACAAATCTTCTTCTCTTCCTCATAATGCAAATGATGACAGAAATCCCACTTGTGCTAATTTCAACCAGGATATGGTGGAGACACTGGATTTGGATAATGTACATTCCCCTGCTGAAGAAATCAGTATGTTTGATCTGGGGGAGGGAAATGGGGATTTACATCGAAATATCCATGAAGAGTGTAGCATTGTTTTACTAGATGACTGCTCAAATGGCTGTGATCACAATCACCAAACAGAAGATTCCTTGATGCTTGAAGGGTTAAATGGTGTTGCTTCTCATGTTCAGAACCGGTATTTAATGGATGATGGCTGCAGCTATGGTGCTCATAATACAATAAATTCTAGTGATTGTATGTCTGGAGCTTTTACCATTGAAGAAAATGCTCCTATCTCTTCCCCCAACTGTGGAAGTATAAGCCACTCCCATACTAAGCTCAGCTCTTTGGATCTTAGAGCTGATGATGACTTGCACTATAAGAAAACTCTGTCTGTCGTGCTGAAATGCTTGAGTCCATTGAGTGAAATCCCAAGTTTGCATAGCCTTGGTCACAAATCTGGATTTGTGAGGTGGGAAAAAGGAGGGATAGACAATGGTTACAGGCCTAGGGTGCCACAGAACATTCTAAAGAGCATACTATTTTCAGTTCCTCTGTTGCATGGTGATAGTAGCTCTCCTAGTTTTCAGAAAGAAAATGGTAAGAAGCATTTCCATAAGAAATTGGAAAATGATAACTTAAGAGAAAATGAAAAGCTTCTGGTTCTCAAGTCAGTGATTGCTTCTATCAGTGAGGTATATTCTTTTTCCCAAAATCAGATGGTAATTTCAGCTCTCTTTTTATGGTCTTTGTTACAAATCTTTAAGTCTGTTTTTGCAGATTGACAAAGTATCAATCCCTAATGACATCATTAAGAACTTGAAGGAGCTTGAGGCAAGGGTAGAAGAACCTGAATCATGTGTGGATTCAGTGGACTGTGAGCCAAAACCTAGAAGGAATTACCTAGTTATGGTAGAAGAAACATCAGATAACTACAAGAATAGAAAGGTTGACAATGCCAAGAAATCTTGCATAAACAAGAGGAAGGCCTCTGATGTCCATGAAAGCTACAAAACTGACACAGAACTCAATAGGGTTGTTCTCAAAGAGAGCCTCATATCAGATTTAAAAGTCACCATAAAAGAGCAGGATGTCGTGATTGAAATGAAATGTCCTTACAGGGAATACATTTTTCAGGATATCATGGATGCTATAAACAACCTGCATTTAGATGTGCACATGGTCCAGTCCTCTACCCTTGATGGAATTCTCAGGCTAACCCTCAAATCTAAGGTATTTATTCTAATTAATTCAAAGAGAAATAATGGTTAAAGTTCCGATACTTTATATATTTGACTGCTTTAAATTCTATTTCAGTTCAGAGGTAAGGCAGTTGCACCAGTAAGGATGATAAAAGAAGCATTACAGAAAGTAGCAGGCAAGTGTTGACGAAACTAAAAAGCAAGTAATCACTGATATCTCTAGGATTTATTTGTCTGATTCATTGTTGTGAAACATAAATTAGAAAAGAGGAAGAAGTACCAATGTTCCCATGTACTTACTACTAGTTGCCAACATGAATTTCTTGTCAAAGTGCTGTCCCTTTGTATTATGTAATGGCCTTAGCTAGGAGTGGTTTTGCTTTGCTTCATGTCTGAACTCCATTTCCATACCTCTTCTGCAGACTGAATTGATTGTCCAACAGATATTCCAAAGCACTAAGCAAACACATTCAAAATATTCCTGGATTTCAAGTAATGTCTGCAATATAGGTTAGGACCATGTGACCAGCAGAATCTGTATGGCATGAAGACTTTCTCTACCAAAAACAAAAACATATTTTTCATTTGCAGATAAAAAAAAAAGTCAAAGATTCAGACATTGGGTTCTGTTTTTAATGCATAATAATAAAAACTATATAAGAATAAAGTATGTAACAATCTCAACTCCTAATATATATGAAGAAATAACTGATTCATGCCTTTACTTACTTACCTCTGTTATTAGTTAGTTTATATTAAATGTGGCGCAAGGCCCAAACCCATCATATTCCCTTGTCCTTAAAACGCTGTCTCCCAACACCGTTTCTCCCTTTATCCCTCCACCTAGGCGTCGTAATGTATTTTCCATCTCGGAATGCACAGAAACTGTTTGCAAAAATTACCCAGAGAAAAATTTCTACGGGGATCACCGCAAGTTTATCCTGCGCTACATTGTGCGATAAAAATGCATCTTTTGAGGACCCAGTTGAGTATTATGCTTAAAAGAATCATGTAGTAACGTGGACAACTAAGTTATCCAATTTGATTGGGAACAACCAGCAGGAAGCAGCCATTGCCTTCTTCAAGACGATGCTGACGAGTGATCAGAGACCAAATTTCGTGACGATGTTGAGCTTAATAAAGGCATTTGGAGCGTTGAATTGGGAAGCCTTGATAATGATGGTTCATGGGATGGTGGTCGAAATGGGATTTGATTGCATCCTTTGGTGTTAACTGCACTTCTCGGATTGTATTCGGGATTTGATATGGGGGCAGTGTCTAGATTGTTTGATCAAATACCAAATAAGGATGTGGTTTTGTGGAGTACTATGGTTGCAGCGTGTGTGAAGAATGGCCACTACTTAGAGGCTGTAGGGTTCTTCAAAGAAATGCAGTTATTTGGTTTGGAACCTAATCATGTCAGCGTTGTGAGCATTTTGGCTGCATGTTCTATCATTGGTTTTGCAATAAAAAAGAATGTTTTATCATCATACCAATGTTCAGAATTCATTTGTGGATATGTATGCAAGATGTAGGTCTTTGGAGGCTGCAGTTTAAGTTTTTGAACGAATGCTGGAGAAAATTTTGGTCTCTTGGAGGACTGTGATTCGTGGTTGCATTGAGAATGAATATTGGAGAAAAGCATTGGAAATTTTCTCAAGGATGCGTTTCTCTAGCCTTGCCCCAGATGAACAAATTGTCCGGGATATGATAGTGGTGCTATTACAGCACAAGAGATTGATGTTGGAATGGCATTTCATTGCTACCTGCTGAAAAGTGGGTTGTTGGCTTCTGTTTCCGTTGGGGCTGCACTTTTGCAGATGTATTCAAAGTATGACCAGGTTGGTTTAGCTAGGAATGTATTTGATCACTTGAATAACAAAGACGTAATTGCTTGGAGTGCAATGATCTTGGCATATGCTCAAAGTGGGCAACCCTTTAAATCTGTGGATGCCTTCAAAGAGATGCTATTGATGAATGAGAAGCTCAACCCTTTCACTTTTGTTAGTCTGTTACAAGCTTCTTCTTTGATGGCATCTCAAGAGCTTGGACAAAGCATCCATGGTTATGCAATTAAAGTTGGTTACTCGTTAAATGCATATTTGATCTCAGGCTTGATCGATTTGTACTGCAAATTTGGAAAGGTTAAGCAAGGGAAGGTTCTTTTTGATGAAATTCCTGTCAAAGATGTTACATGTTGGGGTGTAATGATTAATGGTTATGGATTGAATGGTTGTGGAATGGAAGCTCTTGAAACATTCTCAACCATGTTGGAACATGGGATGAAGCCAAATGATGTTGTTTTTCTCTCTCTTTTATCGGCTTGTAGTCAATGTGGACTAGAATATGAGGGTTGGAACTGGTTCTATTCTATGAAAGAGAAGTATCGTATTACTCCAAAACTTGCACACTATGCCTGCATGGTTGATTTGCTCAGTCACCAGGGAAATACTACAGAAGCTCTAAATTTTGTGAATGAAATGCCAGTGGAGACTGATAAAAGAATCTGGGGATCTCTTCTTGCTAGTTATAGATCAACACGTGGGTCAATTAATATTGCAGAGTTTGCTGTTGAACGCCTAACTACCTTGGATCCGCAAAACAGTAGCAACTACTACAAGATTTTGTTAGACCTGTATACAGACGAGCATAGATGGGAAGCTGTGGAGAGGCTGAGAAGATTGATGGATGAGAATGCATTGATGAATATTGCCTGAATTGGTAGGTTAGAGCAAGTCAGAATTAGCATTCTCTTTATTCTTTTAATTATTTCTTTACGGCGACATAGACTGTTTCTTTCAACCAGTCTCAGTGTACAAAAGACACTTTTTTCATTTAAAATGAATCTGAATAATAATGAAATGTTGTAACAAAAGATTTAATATTTTATTTATTGTTCATGGAGGTTTGAAGTATAGTAATTATGTCAGGTGTATTTTCTAGTGGCATCTTAAAACTTCTACCCAGTTGAGTTAATATTGTTGTAAAATAAACTGTTGAAACTGACTGTCATTAACTTTCCCTTTTTAATATAACATCATTAGACCATGTTAAGTAACCAAACGCTCTTTCTCTGTTCTTGTAGACAGAGAAGAACAATAACATAGGAAAATAAGTTTATGCCCTACTCTGTCGCATATGAAAGGAGGGACTCTTGAAGTACTTCTCGTCAATGCTGAAGACATTAGACACACAAATATCCTTGGTACTCTCTCTCTTAGCCATTGATCATATACATTGTTTAAGTCAATATCTTTTTTTCTGGCACTGCATGATGGTGCTTATTATGAATATGCTCATTTTTTATAGGAACACCAGTCTATTATGTCATTACGCAATTGGGAAGCCATGAACACAGAAGCAGGGTATCAGAAGGTTTATATCCTGTTGTTTATTTCTACCATATTCAAGCCCTTATCTGACAATGCATTTCTGTTTGGTTCCCTAATAAAGTTGGGTTTTGTGATGTAGCTAAAGATGCAAAAGTATTGTGGAATGAGAAATTCAAGTTTGATTTCCCAATGCACCGGTGGAAAAGATTAACTCACGTTAAATTTAGAATCATGGACAGGGAGTTGTTCTCAAATGGTGGATTTGTTGGTGAGACCATGTAAGCTCTTTTTTTGTGATATCTATAAAATAGATAGCGACTGCTATAATTTGTAATGTATCAATCTGAATCAATTAGAAAGGAGAAAAAGGGAAAAGGGGACCATGAAGCACATGAAGGGAGAATGAAGAACGTAATTGAAATTTTAGATGCTTGATAGAATGCATAAATATAATTTCTTGGAAAGCTAAAATACTTTCACCGTCTCACTTTTCCCTCAGATGTCTATTTTGTTTATGCAGAATTTACCTTGGTGGAATAATTAGTGAGGGGAATTACAGAGGACTTATTGAAGTGAAACCAGCCCCATACAATGTAGTGCTCGAAGATGACACTTACAAAGGACAGATAAAGATTGGATTTAGATTCATCCCACATGTAAGTGTACACAAAATCCATTAAGACTTCTTATATCATTGCATTTGGATTAGAAGTTTAACATCCCTAAGAGTATAAAATCACAGCATCTTGCAGAACGAGGTGCAGAAGAGACCCAAGAATCCATTGGACAGGTGGATGGACAAAGACAATCCATTTGTAGCTCTCTTTTCAATCTTTGGATATTCCTACGTTCTTTGTTCCAAAATAGCTCCAAAAATAAGCAGAAGGACAATTAGGACGACCAGAATTCACAAGTCAGTGGTATGGAGTTTTTTTAGATCTTTACATATTGAATTCTTGGGTGATGTTTCCATAGGTTTTGACATTTTACTTCAACATATGGAACATGAAATGAAATCTTTTATCTCATTTTTCAAGATCAAAGCAATGATGGATACAATGCCATTAATGGAAATGGCATAGAGTCATTGAAAAGCCGCTGGGATAATTTGATTGAGTCTATAAGTATCTATGTTTAGCTTTCTTCAACAACAGGCATGGCCAACAGAAGAATACTTAAATACAAAGCCTGAATCTGTTCATTTTTCTTTCATAGCTGCGTAAACAACTAGCTCTATGATGCTCTACCCTGTTTGGTAAGACAAATGGACAAGAAGACTTGATCATTTTGTACATCTTAGTTTCCTTGCCTTTAATTTAAAGAATCTAAACACCCATTTGACCTGAATTTTTTATAATAACTGCCCTAATTCTGGACTATAATGTCACCCAATGAACACACAGACAGGACTCATAAGGCATGGGATGCACGTCTGTCTAACGATGAAATTGATAATAATGTTTTATGCCTGTTTATGAATTGGGATTGGGATTTTGGAGTTGAAAGTTGGCTCACAAGATCTGCCAATTATGGTTTATATGACAGGTTAGGTGAATTAAATGGTAGGAATAGAAAAATTGACCATTTTAATTGAAAACTACGACGGAATTTTCTTGTAGCTTCCTCTTCACATGTGTTGGAGGCTACACCATCTCACATAAATATGGTTTATGACATTTCTTTTTGCCATTTCGTTTCTTTGGTTGACAACATCACAGCAGTTTTATTTCGTTCTCTATTTCAATGGAATACTCATGTATAACAATCAAACAGAGTATTAAATCTCAATATCTATTTTCAAAAAAAAAACATAATACTAAATCTATCTCTTTAATTTGGTTAAAAATACATCATTCACAATAAAATTAAAAAATTTTAAGAGAATGAACCATTATTAATTTTTATTAATTATTAAAAACTAACTTATTTTCATCTAACAGCTAGTCCTAAAAGCCCAATGGTATTAGTCATTGAATAAGTGCATTCCCTTTCCCCTGAGTGGGTTTTGAACACGTTCCATATCAAAATGTTTAAAAAAAAAAAAACTATCATCTAAATTACCCCTCATTAGGTGGTATCATTTCTTTTTTCTTAATCATCCTTAAGTTATTAGAAAATATCCTTTTTGATGTGAAAATGATTGAAAAGAATTGATATTAAAAACTTTAGACCATCATTATTTTAATTGATTGACAGAGATCCTGCAACATTCAAATGATTTTCTTTACAAACCATATGATATACTAAAAGCAAGTTAATTAAGCACCAACCTCCCATTATTATTCACGTCCTAACTATACACCCTTTTGCATGTCCTTCCCATAAACAACCAAAACCATGCTTCTTCTCCCAATCCCTGCAAATTTCTGCACCTGGGTCTTCCTCCATTGAGATCCAGCAACACCGCGACAGTCATCCGGCAGTGCATGCTCATCGTTTGTCCATGATCAAAAGAAAGTGATAATCTTTTTGGAAAGGAAAAAAAAGTTACAGGAGGGAAGGAGGGGTCTGTTTCAAACGGTCCAAAGCCTGCTTCAAATTCAAACCCTTCCTTTAAAGGTAAAAAGAAAACTTGTATAAAGAATGAATTTAGACCGTTGCTTTATCCTTTCAAATTTCAGTTGCTTCCCCAATAAATAATGCATCAAATGTAAGACTTTACTGCATAAAAAAATTCAGTGAATTATTTAGGAATCTGCCATAATAACGACCTCAGTCTGTCCCCTTTTCCTTTTCTGTTGCAAAAATTCCGTCTTTCCTTTCCTTTCCTTTTTCTTTTCTTTTTTATGGTGTGAATTGGTATTATCCAGTTTGAGCAATTTCCCAGGTCTGAATTTTGGTCTTACTCCTTAGAAGTGCTAAATTCCTGAGCCCGGGTAACCAAAATTGGATCTTTCATGATTTTCTGCAGATTGATTGAGCAAACAGGGTGCAATGGATAATTCATGGAATTCCGATGAGAATTCCGATAAGGGTTATCAGCCTTCCACTTCTTCCGTTGACCTGAACGAGCAGTCAACTGCAGAGACTCCGGGATATTTAACTCTGAGTGGTGATTCTTTTGAATATTACCGGACTTACTCGGATACTTCAGCCTTTTCAGAACCCATTGATGAAAGCAGCTGCTGCAGTGAGCCTTCTTCTTCTCGGTTACCGGCCATGAAGTCCGGTGGCCGGAATCAGAATGTTCTTAAAAGGCTAGCGATGAACCAGCACAAAAAGGTTCTAGACAATAAGCTTGATGATAAGCTTGAATCACTGGATTCAGGTGGGTTTTTCAAATGATTGCGCCTGGGTATTTTTGATCAGTTTGAACCCCTTACCTTAATCTCAAATTAAAGATTTTATAGTTAGGTGGTACTAACTCCGCTAGGCTGTTGTTGATGAAACTGTATATTATAAAATCTTATCTAAGCTGTTGTGATTTTCAGAGCTGGAAATGATGAAGGAGAGATTTGCAAAGCTTTTACTGGGGGAAGACATGTCAGGAAGTGGGAAAGGTGTCTGTACAGCAATCACAATCTCAAATGCCATAACCAATCTCTATGGTACATAAAATTCTCAATTATACCATTACGCGACCTATTTTGTCCTTTCAAAATGCTTACTTGTGTTTGCTTCTGCAGCCACTATTTTCGGTCACAGTTTGAGGTTGGAGCCTATGAATTCCGAAAAGAAGGCAATGTGGAAGAGAGAAATGAACTGTCTTCTCTCTGTCTGTGATTTCACAGTAGAATTTATCCCCAGATCGCACAATTTGCGCAATGGAACGTCTGTTGAGGTGAGATTTCCAGATTCAGAAGGCTAAACTTAATATTGGTGAAGTTTTTCATAATTTGCCAACTTAAATTCAACATGATTGATTCTGTGGGTTTTCAGATCATGGAAAGCAGACCAAGATTGGACATTTATATCAATCTCCCTGCTTTGAGAAAGCTGGATGCAATGCTCATAGTAAGAGAAGCTCTCACTGTAGTTAAAATTGCATGTCATCTTCTTCCATCCAAGGCCTTTTGGATCCTCATACTAGGCCTTTTTGACAGGAAATACTGGATAGTTTCCAGGAGAGGGAATTTTGGTATGCGGAACAAGGGAGCATGTCATCAAGTTCTACTCGTTCAGGCTCATTCCGTAGGGTGATTCATAGGAAGGAGGAGAAATGGTGGGTGCCAGTTCCTTGTGTTCCCCGCGGAGGACTCTCAGAGAAATCAAGGAAGCATCTGCAGCATAAACGGGACTGTGCTAATCAAATTCACAAAGCAGCCATGGCTATCAACAGCAGCATTCTTTCAGAGATGGCAGTTCCAGAGACATACATGGCATCTCTCCCAAAGGTTAGCCCTATTCCATGCATTCACTCAACATGCAGATGTTTTGTAAAATTAGGAAAATTTCCTGATTCTGAACTTATTTCAGAGTGGAAGAGCAAGTATTGGGGATACCATTTACCGACGCATGTATACCGCAGACAAATTCTCTCCTGACTATCTCCTAGACAAACTGAATATATCATCTGAACACGAAGCACTTGAGCTTGCTGATCGGGTGGAAGCTTCAATGTATACATGGAGACGAAAAGCATGTACAAACTATTCAATATTGTCCTGGCAAATGGTCAAGGATCTAATGTCTGACATAGATAGAAGCAATAAAAATTATGTCCTGGCTGAAAGAGCTGAGAGCTTGTTATATTACCTGAAGCAAAGATATCCTGAACTCGCGCAGACTTCCTTGGACACATGCAAGATCCAATACAACAGGGTAAGTCAATAGCTCCATGTGTGTTTCTCTGCACTGCAACTGTGAAAGAACATTCACAAAACACAGTGAAATTTGGGATCCATAGATTTTATAAATGAGACACTGTTTGATTGCAGGATGTGGGGCAAGCAATCCTGGAGAGCTACTCAAGAGTATTAGAAGGCCTAGCTTTCAACATTGTTGCTTGGATAGAGGATGTCCTTTATGAGGACATATTGATGAGAAATCAAGAGTGAAGAAAACTAGAAGGAAATCAAGCATCAAAGAGATGATTTTGAATCCCAATCATCTTTCTCTAGCTAGCAATCAATCAAAATTTATTTTGGAAGCACAGAAGTTCCTTGTTCATACCTCCATGTGTATCTAATCAAACAAGCAATCCCAATCATCAATATTTTTCCTTTTTATTTTAAAATAAACAAATATCATTCAATATATCTATTATTAGACCATATCATTGAAATTATTACTCACTTCTTCCAAGTTAGGATTATAATCGTCCAAAATCTAGTAGAATGTTAAAGTTCTCAGTGTACGATGTCATGCAAAAAACTGATACCGTACTCTTCTCACTTCCGCCCTCGCATGCAGACGCATGATATACGAATTCAACACTCTTAACATAATTTGCATAAATGATTAGATGCCTTTGCATGCGTCCTGTGGATGCATCCCTTTGTATGGAAGGTGGAGAGCACGAGCCGAGCAATGAAAAAGCTACATATCATTCTCGAGATATCTTACTCGGATCAATTGGTAAATCGAAACAATTTTATCACTATATATACAACAAGCCTCTGAACCGCACCTGGAAGTGCGAAGTCCAGAACGTGGGAGGTCTTGCAAAGGTTAAGCACTTCCGCAGGAGGGCAGGATCACAATCCACCTAGATGGGCTAGCTTACCAAGTTTTGCCATTTCTTCTCCCAGCGCTCTAAGACCCTCATCCCCCCTCTATCCCAATTGACCAACTGGCAAAATGGCACCCCTAACAGCTCTCTCTCTATCTCTCCTTCACCACCCCACCTCCCCACCCCAAGATGGGACTATAGTGCCAGTTGTGCACCATAAATGAACATTTGGATCACTGTTGAGGGATGTGCTACCCTTGGACCAACTCAAAAATGAAGTTAACCTTAAATCAGCTGTCTTCATCTATAGCACCAATATAAGTGAGGTCTGTCCTCCTGACCCTCACAGCTCCCTTTAGCCAACTGCAGGCTCGGAGATTAGCATGATCACTGCTGGCTAAAACAGCAGGGTTACTTGAAGATGGGCCAGACCCTGCTCCGTCTTCCAAAAGTGTCCATGGGTCAATGTCAGTATCACAATCCTGTGATAATGGCACTGGTTTAGACTTTCCTGCTATGCTATTTGTCGCTCTTGCCAAAGGAACAGATCTTTGAGGGCTGAATCCAGCAGAGATGCCAGGTTGAAGTAAACTAAGAGCAGCAAGTTGGACAGATGGTGGCTGGCATGAAATGAAGTAGCGGACAGAAGGAAAAAGTATTGGCATTGCAGTTTGAATGCGCCATCTGATGATTTCAGGTAACTGCATCCGATTCAAGTCATTCTGCAAACACAGCAAATAAATTGGACAAGTTGAATGAAAGCACGTAAATAAGATATTCATGACATTCAGACTGTGGAGGTATCAATATTCACAATATGTCTATATAAATCTGAAAGAAGCAATCCAAATACTGGGTTGATAAAGCTCAAACCTGTAAATTCTCTGCCACCTCACGATCGAACCCAGAAAAATCTTTGGAAAATACACTGGTTGATTTTGTAGCAGGTTTTGAACTTAGCCAACTTGGCTGGCAACGGCTTAACAACCCATGCAGGACCAACAATAGGCAATTAAAAAGACTTTCCCCAGGCATATCAGCAGATGCAGCAGAAGATTCCATAGTCAGCTCCCCCTCCCTCTTATATGGCATCAGATTAAAATATACGTCAACATCGTCATACACAACCCGACTTCCCAGCAAACGAAGAACCACAGAAGCAAGCATGTGCCTCATGCTTCGCACTGATGGCTCCCTGATTAGAAATTCCAAAAATCATTAATATAGTTAAAATGAGACCATACAGAAACAGAAGCTAAAACAAAAGACTCAAAAGCTGATCCATTTTGAAACAGGTAATAGAATATTTAAGTTCCTATTATGTTGCCAGAAAATAAAAACACATATTTATACATGTTTGAAATGGAAATTATTTTCCTATATAAGGTAATGAATGTAGATGGTGAAAATTTATATTTACCCATGTGCACATATGATTGGCAAAAGTCTGATAACAAACTGCAACCTCAGCGATATGGAAGCTCGCAAGGCTGCAGGGGATGGTGGAGCAATATCCATGACTCCCATATGTCGTTGTGCCAATCTAGGACTGCTACCTCTAATACTTTTGCGATTTTTGCCCTTATTACCAGAACCTTCAAATCCAGAAGAAGCTGTTTTGGTTAACCCACACATAAAAGAACTTATTTGTTGCTCTATGGTACTCAACTGCTTGATTAGTTCACTTGCAAAGGTACTGCACAAATCATCAGAGCTCTGATCAATGCAAGGAAGAACCAATTCAATGAAAGCCTTCTCAGTCACCTGCTGCTGGGTGACATTGTAGCCTTCAGCATCCATATGAGCAGATCCCTTCACATGCCTCCTTGATTCCTTTCCCTCAAGAACAACTTCCCCTTCCACTGAAGGGGTCGCTTCAAACTTCTTCTTCTCCTTCCTTTCTGTTGCAGGATCAAAATTAGAATAAGACCAACCCCAGGGCCTCCAAAACTGAGGTTTAGTCAAAAGACCTTTACGTTCAGCAATATCAATAAGACGTTGTCGAACAGTTTTTCGTCCATACAAAACATCCTGGCCTGCTAGAAACCATTTAGCCTGCATCAACACAGAATCTTCTAAAGACCTCCCAAAAAGATGAACCACCTCAGAGAAAAGTGAAGCAGCATCAGGTCTGACCAACAATCTAGTGAAGATGATCTGAATGAAATTGTTTTCAGTCTCAGAAGCAGCAGCTTCCTCAGAACTAGGTGAGGAAGAACAGATAGCATCCACTAACGACACATCATGATTCTCCATCTTTTCAAGGAGTGCTTGTTCATTTAGGAGCAGCCTCAGCTCAACCCACTGCCAATGAAATTTTGCTGGTTGCAGTGTATCTAAAACATGAACAAGCTTATCCAAAAGCTTTGAGTTGCCCTCCATATGTGAAGGCTTAGGTTCAGCATGTCCAGAAGCTCGAGTGCCATCATCATGAAAGGAAGGGTTTGGCATCTTGCAATCAATCAATGCATTTAGGAATAGCCTTCCACGTAGAGGGACAAAGGCTAAGGATTTCAAATGCATGTCCAAACCATTCAACTCTAACAAGGCTGCAAACTCAGCATCAGTAGAATCTGCAGCTACAATGTTATAGAAACCAGCACTGTCCCTCAGACAAACATCTCGAAAAGGTAAGTGTCTTATAGCATCACCAATAGCCATAGTTAAAGACTGATATAGTTGTTGAATGTCTTCACGGGCAGTAATATTACTGCTAAAAATGAATGGCTTCCAAATAACAAATGAAAATATTGCATAAGCTGGAGGAAAGACCAATTTAATGGGGAGCATTCTCTGCATCCTCAAAAGAGCTACAATAGATGGTTCACCCACAAGTTCTGCAACCAGTCCATCACAGACAGTTCTGCAGTTTCCAACCAGCAGTCTAAACCAGTGCACAGAAAGTTCAACAGAGCTCTCCACCTTAAAAGTCCCAACCGAGCGAGCATTGCCGTTGGAATTGGTTTTGGTACTCCTTACAAACTGAACTACATCCAACCCTTCCTTCAATCTTAAGACAGTTACCATTCTCTCCAAGTTAGTAACCCCATGAATTACAGCCCCAATGACAAGTGCTGAAACAGCTGCCATTTTTGTTCTTCCAACTGCTGCTTTGGCAGAACTGTTCAAAATTTCATTGGATATGTTTGCACTAGAATCATGAGCTTCAGGAGACAGTTGAAACTGGTTCCTAGAAGACTTTCTAGAGCCAAATGCCGCACTAAGAGCAGAAGAAAATTCTGTTGCAAGGGCTATCTCAAAGACTCGGCTTTGACGTTCCCCAAGAGCATCCTTGAGTAGGCATAAGCAAGTTATATGGATTCGCAAAATGCGCCTAGCAAAATTCAATAAACTCACAGAGAACTGATAATTAGAACAATTACTGCCACTTGTAAAATCATGAATCTTTGCCATACATGGGCCTACATTACTGACAATGGCAGAAACAGCAGAAGAAACCAGAGATGGGTCGCCTTCTTGAGCAGCACCACCAGTCTGCCTAATACACTCCATTAGCCCCATTATAATTTGCTGAGCTATCTGATAAACATCATCCCATTTCTCTAATACAGGACCTTTTGCTGTACAAGCAGCTAAGAGTTTCCTCTCCTTGTCAAAGTAATACTGGAAGGCTTCCTCAAGATGTCTTTGCACCACATCCCGCATGCTCAAACCCACTCTGGATAACCTTCCACTAGTTATTTTTTGACGGAGATAATCATCAAGGTCTTCAACTCCAGCCAGAGCTCCAAGTGAATATCCAAATTCTCCATCCAGAGACTGTCCAGCTTCAAGTTCAGAAAGCAATCTCTTATCATATTTTGCCCTGACATTCTTCTCCCATGCAATGACACTAGCAATGTTGCCATACCTCTTCAACAAGTACCGAGCATAAATTATGGTTGCTGAACTAGAAATTCTTCCAGTAGATGCCATAACAGCTGCGGCACGATTCATTATAACTGACAAGACTTCGGGAATAAGATCGTTTGAAAAAACAACATCCTCATACCTGAACCAAATTCATTAATGAAACCATGAAATGCAAGTCAATTTATTTGAGCCAACTCATTAAGCATAAAAACCATAGAAAAGAGGAATATGAACTATAAGTAGAATTTATCATAAGACTCCATATGCTAATGGTCCACTAGAAATATTGTGCACCATAATAAAATTTCTTTCAAAAGAAACTGCAGCCCATCCCCAACCAAAATCAAATCTTTCAGAAAAGTGATTAGGAAGGCAAAAGATCATCACCTTCGGAGTGATGATGACAAGAATGATTCCCCCACTTCACATGCATGGTTATCCACATTCTTAGGCAGCATAAGAAAACTTCTCCCACTATGAATAGTAGGACTTGAATTATTAAGAACCTTCGGCACCAGCCAAAGAAGAAACTTGACTGCTGAAGCTAAATCACATGAAATGTCCAAAAGATACAGTATAACAGATAGCTCATCCTCACCAAGCTTCCAACATAAAGGGCTCTTCTCATCAGCACTAACAAAAGGCCTACCATACTGGCCAACCTTGGCTACAGTTTTCTCAGTTTCTTCAACAAGCTGCTTAACTGCAGATATCAACCAAACTGTAAGGATTCTCTTCTCCACAAAGCGTAATTGCTTAATAGCCCTTCCAATTGAAACCATATCTCCTGCATGGGCACTTCTGATCCCATCCAATGACTTAAGAGTGTCTACTTCAGTTCTGTGATGGGGGCAGTTAGTCTTACTATTATCACATATGTGGCTTGTAGAGGCTCCCTGGCTACCCTCAATCCTACCAGCTGCTAATTGAGCAAGACGCGCGGTCTTTTGCCTACCCCCCCGGGTTACCTGTTTTGTTGACGTATGTGGAGCATCAACTTTGAAAGACTCCAAGGATTTAGGGCCCTTCCTTACCCACCAGGTATCTTCATCATCAGATGGAATTAGTGAAGGTAACAGAAGGGAAGAGTTCTTTTCCTCACTTGATTTTTGTCTCTTTACCCTTTTACAATCTTCACAGCCAGGTGTACCTTCTACCAGATCCATCTTGTTGTATATTGACCCAATTGGCCTCTTAACACTCCTTTGAGATTCATCCACTCCAGTATCTGCAGATGTAGTAGCTGAGCTAGGGATTTGCAACAATGTTGAGATGGAAGCCTTCAGCTCTTCAAGGTACACATCTCTTTTGACCTTCATGGGTGACAATGCATTGTATGATGACCGAACAGGTTTCCACTGATCACCTGAAGTTTGGGAAGCACCATCCTTTCGGGTGGTTGAATGATGCTTTTGCTTCCTTACCAATGCATGAACACCACTCAGATTATATAGATCATAATGAAGTTGCTGAAGGACAAGGTGACGCTCATTTGAGTAAACATGCATGGCCTCGGAAAGTTCTGACCCTTCAGCAATTCTATTTTCTTCCAAAGCATTGTGCATAAACAACCCAGGAAGCTGCTTCAGGATACCATAGTGCCTTTTCTTTCTACCCGTGTCAGCAGTATCCATAATTCCACTAACAATCAACTGCCTCACATATACCTGGGGGAAAAAGATACCTGAATTTATGAGTTCCAAAACAAAAAGCTGAAGGCATGTGGTACTTTCCTCTTTGTGCCCTACATGCTGATCAATAAAACATACAAAAATATCATGCATAGGACCTGGGCTTTCAAATAGGTCTGCTGAACTAATTCTTCCATCCATACTTTTTGCATTGCATTTGGCCTCATAATCATTCTCCAGATAAGTACTGGCCAAAAGGTTATTCTGAAAATTATTATTCTTGGCAAGCTTTTTGATTGCTAAGCTCCCCTCTTTCTTCTGTGAAGGTGGATTTTTTAACTCCCTCATCTTTAACTTCAAAAGTTGAATTGCAACATGCACTTGTGAAAAATCTTTTCTGCCAGTGAAGACCAAGTCAGAAGGGGGACCCATCCTAAAATCCCTGAAATTACACGTGGCCCACTCACAAAGGAAAAAAACTGAGCAAATGAATGATAGGCTGACAGTGCCAATCCACTTTAGTGAAGATCTCAAACATGGGCTAACTTCTAGAATCCAACCCTCATCAATGTCTCCATCACATAGATCTTCAAAGATACATTTGTAAGCCTCTCTAAGATCTCCATGTAGTAGAGATTTATCCAAGGCCTTCACAGCTTTAGCCATGCCCTGACTAGGAGACCCACTACTTGCTCCCTTTGCAAGATTATCTGCATGTTTCTGAATGGCTGACACAAGGTGATCAAGCGACAATGATTGGTACTGAGAATCAATACCATTACTTCTGAGAACATAGGCAACTTCTGCTGAATTGTTTTTTATTTTTCCAATATCCTCCGATGCTTTTGATACAAAACTTCCATCATTTAATGCATGGGAGACAACACAGGGTGGTAAAGGAAAACAATCTATAGCAACAAAGGTATCAGGTACAACCTGTATCAAATACCTAACCATTTCAACCAGTGCAGATATTGTGTATGCCTTCCGGGAATTATCAACTAGATCTGATCCCCCAGGAGAAGGCTCACGAATGAATTGAATAGCTATAGCCACAAGAGTACGCACATACGTCTGAGATAGAGTGATAGCTTCTAAAACTCCATGTATGATAGGCAATACTAATTGCAAGATCTCAAGCAATTCTTTTTCCTGAAATAACAAAAATATATAAGAAATTTTTTTTTAAAAAAGGTTCAATTATGTTATCACTATGTGATTAGTCTTTAGTCACTCTCCATGGTATCAAAAATGACTCTCTACCGTGAAGGTTTAACATAACGAACACAATACCTGTAGTTGAGTAAGAACCCAATCAATGACAAGGGAAGGGAGAAGCAATCCTTCTGCATTATGCCACTGCAAAAGCCGCACCACATACCACCACTTAAAATATAAGGAGGGCTCTTCACCATCAAGGACTGTTGATGCCGGATTACTCCTGCGCTGTAATGACCCAGCATAAAGCGTTTGTTGTGGTTTATCTCTATGGTGTTGATTAGAATGAGAATGATTTCTCTTATAAAATTCATCTAAAAGGTGCTGCAAATATTCAATAACATCCTTAGTCCAAAGCTCTGTGCGAGATAACTGAGTTTTATCAGCAGCTCCAGAAGAACCAGGGCGAACCTGCAGACCATAACCAATATCACCTACCTTCCAAAATTAAGAATAGGCTACCAAAAAGTAACAACTAGGAAGAGTAGGAGAGAATTATTACTAGAATAGAATCAAGCCAGTAATACCTGATTAAGATAAGTTACTTTGATAAACCAAGTTGCTCTGTGCAAAGGAACATTATTCTTAATAATAACTTCAAATAATGAAGTCCCCGTATAACCATGAGGAACATGATCAGCCAAAGAACGCAAGCGTTTATGTTGCTGTGATAAACCCTGGGAAGAATGAATTTTAAGATTACAGTCAGGAATAAAAACTTCCACATCACTTCAGCCCAAAAAAACCCCCGGGACATCATACTGCTTTTAATCAATTAAATTTTAAAAAACAATAGTGTTGGACCCCACTTAACAACAACCAAAGTACAGCTAGTTTTCTTCAATTCACAAAGACATTCCACTAATATGCTGGGTTTTTTTTTTAGGTTAAGCAAAGCTCAATGCGACGGCTCATCAATGTTGTTGCAAGCCAATCATCAAATCATTGATGAATATCCTAGCCCTCATCTCTGTCTTCTCTCCAAGGTTTATAGAGCTCATGTTGACTAAAGAAATTTAATTCTGTTCAAGTAGGTGACCTGATTCACAAAAGTAACAGAAAAAAAAAAAATGTTTCTGCAATCCACTACAACCTTGATTTAATATGGACATACCTCAATCCATTTCTTCTGGAAATCTTCACCACATGGCCTTTGTTCAGGAAAAACTCCAGGTTTACTCAATAGTGAACCAGAAAGAGGCACACCATAAACCTGACCAGCCTATCAGGATAAGGAAAAAAATGTACAGCTTTAAATTCTGGGGGAGAGGATCCACAATTTTAAAAGGAAAACAGAAGGAACCATCAAATATATAGAAAAAGTAAAATCAACTAGAACTGCAAACAGGTTAAAACATATGAAAAGAATGAATAATACACCTTCCGTTTTTGAGCACGAGATTCATTAATAGCTCTAAGACATTTCCTGATTGCCTGCACAGAAAGGCAAAGAATTATTCTCATGCAAAATAATAATAATAATTACTTCCATGAGAAAGCAATCTAATATGTACAAAAATATAGAACTCTAAATAACAAGTATAGCTTCAGAAATCCTGACTCACATCTCGACACTTTAGAACAACAGGCTTACTAAAAGCCTGAATCTGAGTCAATGAGATCTCCTTATTATCCTGAAAACAGAGCAAGAAAAATGTTGGTTAAAAAGACACTTGATGAATGTAAACAACAGGCTTATGACAAATCACATTGCTAAATTAAATTAACCAAGAAGCACATTTATTCCAGATAACTGATTCCTGTCGAAGAAATTTTGGCATATAATGCCTCAGAACATAAAGAAGACAAGAATTGGCAGAAAAGATCCTTCAATGT